CTCAAAAATTAATAAGCACACCCTCGATTTGCTGTCAACTGGGCTTACTTCTACTCTCAATCATTATTGGTTTTAGTATAGTATCAGGTGGGCTGAACATTTCGTAAGCTAATTCACAGATGGCGTTACTAATATTGAATCCATATGATTTTTAGTTAACTGTAACTCTCAAAAGACCTGTGTTCAGAGTGCGCCAAATTGGACACTTTCAAGGGGAAACTACTGTTTTCAAACTAGATAGATAGTAACTAGTGGCTGTGTCTGGTGGTAAAATTTCATGACAAACTCAATGGTGAAAACCACATATCCCTATACGCTTTGGAGGACTTTGGATTTAGAGGTTACGTGAGGCGGTTGTTGAAAAACTATTCGACGGATAGAAAACAGCAAGTCAAAATCAACAATCACTGCAGTATTGAGAAAAGTATACAATTTGGAGTCCCACAGAAAGCAATCTTGAGTCTTTTATTTTTTTTTCTATATGTGGATGATCTATTGAATATCAATATATCTGAGAAGATAATAAGTTTCGTAGATGATATCACTATCATATTCGAATCTGATAGTTGGGAAAAATTACCGAAAACCATTAAGAAAGATATGGGGATTATAAAAAGGTGGTTTGAATTCAAAGTTCTAACTATCAATTTCGAAAATACGTATTACTTACCCTTTTCGTTTTATGGAAATACTTAGCCTTCTTACTCTAGATTGCAAATTGACGGAAACCTGGAAATAAAAGAAAAAGAGTCAGTTAAGTAACTACAGACAAACATTTGAGATGGAATCACCTCGTTTCAAAACATAGTGGTAATTCATCAACAATGGGTTCAATATTTCACTTTAAAACTTCTAAATACCTCTGATATGTGGAAGTGCTATTATAAATGAACAAGCCGATAATTCTACCCCTAGAAACACATGCCCACACAATAAATCCAAATCTTCCTTGGCTTCTCTGCACCACAATAGAATGAGGATTTTGTTGTGCCCAAGTATAAGAATTATAGCGGTGGAAAATGCCGGCGCTGCTCATATAAACTTCGACTGTCCAAATATAATTCAACGCACTTGGTTACAACTTTCCAGGAACGACTGGCAAAAAGCTATACGGTGTTCAAAATCTCCTGATCTAACTTGATAAACTCTCCTTGTCCTGTATGACTTGAATTTGTGTTTTTTCAAAATCCTCCTATCGTTAGTTCTTGGCAGGCCTGTTGATATTTAAAATTTTGCATTGACGTTTCGAAATTATTTTCAACAGCTCCTAAAACGACTATTTCTTCCAACTCCTTATCCTTATTTGTATAATTTTGGCCTTTTCGTTTCAAATTGACCACCACAATTAGTTTATGATGCAGTCTTGCGAAAATGTCTCTGAAAGGTTTTCTTTTCTCTGGATACCTCTCGTGATACAGATTGCTTGGTGTTTCTGCATAAAACATGCTATCATATCCCATTTTTCATATTTCTCCTACGTCACTGCGAATGTGTTTAAAAATTGACCAAAAGCTATCAATTGAAGATCGCCTTCACTAGTTAAATCAAAATTTGACAGCTACCACTAAAGATTTGCATTCTGTTTTATCGCCGCATCGTCAAAAACCTACTTGATCAAAGTGTGTGTTTCAAAAGTCTACATGGAAAATCTAAAACCTCTTTATTTCAAAGATGACTCTAGCAACATATCAAGTTTACTACATTTTTGGAAAGGCAATTTCAAGATCTATGGAAATATGCATAAAAAAATAGTTTTACAACAATAACTATTGATATCTCATTTGAAACTAGACATTTTTGACAGGAAAAAAGTTACAACTTTTCGAAGATTTTCGAAAAACATGATAGATATCGATATGCGGTTTAAGTTATGAATATTATAACATTATCCAGTTTAGTTGATTTATAATTTTATTTCATCTAGTTGTATATAGTTGCCATTGTATTAAAAAGAAAACAGTTTTTGTCAATGAAAGTCAAAAGGAACAATTCATTTTCTTTTACTGAGGAAAGTTATTAATTCCAAAAGGTTATGGGCCGAGATGATAAGTTGGGAATACGTCAGTTCGATGGTACAGATTTCGACCATTGGATATTTCGAATGGAATTACTGTTCATAGAACATGAAGTTGAGGAAGTGATTAATGAAGCAGTTTCCTTGCCGAAAGACTCCAACTGGAAGAAAAAGGATATCAAATGCCAGAATATCATTGTGAAGTGTTTAGCTAATTCGCATTTGGAATGCGTTGAAGATAAGAAATTTGAGAAAGAAATGTGGGAAGCACTAGAAAATCCATATCAAAAGAAAGGGCTTGCCAGTAGAATTTATTTGAGAAAGAAGCTTTAAATGCTGAAATCAGAAGAAAACGAAAGTATGGAAAGTCATTTGAGAAAATTTGATGAGATTGTGAGACATTTGAAATCGGCAGGTGAAAAATTGGAAGAAGTTCAGGTTGTTACACATTTATTCATTACGTTACCATCACGTTACAGCATTAGAGACATTATCTGAAGATAGACAAACATTGAATTCAGTAAAAAGAAGAATATTTGACGAAGAGCACAAGATAAACAATAGACATAGTAGCGATGAACTACAAAGTGCATCCTTTAATAAAAGTGGAGAAAAGAAAAACCTAGAATCCAGACCATTTAAATGCAATTGCTACCGATGCGGAGTCAGAGGCCATACAATGTCAGAATGCAAATACAAGAGTCACATCAAAAATCAGAAAAGAAATTATAGAAGTGTTAACTCTAGTGAAACGGAGCAAATGAGCAAAGAAAATGAAGTGTCTGCAAAAGGAACCGTGGCTAGTATTGCTTTCCTGACATCAGAACAGACAACTTAAAATGACGAGAAGAAATTATTATTATTTTTCATTGACTCAGGAGCAACAGATCATCTTATTAACGATGACCGGTTCTTTTCCGTTGCGATGGTACTAGAGAAACCAATTTCGATTGCAGTCGCGAAATCAGGACAGTCATTATCAGCAACAAAAATTGGTCAAATCGAAGTGAAACAAGGAAATTTAGACATAACAATGAAAACTGTGCTTTTTGTTCCTGATTTGAGAATACATTTGTGATCTGTGAGGCGACTGGAAATGATGGGATTCAAAATTGTTTTTGCACGTGGAGAAGCGAAATTATACACTGAAGATGGGTTAATTGCCAACGGTAGTAGAAGTAATCATCTTTATGAAATAACTTTCCGTTTGAAACAAAGTTATATAGCTCACATGACGTATAACTATGAGGAAGACCTGTGGCATCGCCGAATGGGTCACGTAAGTCAGTCCAATCTGAATCATCTTATTTCATCAGTTTGGACTTCCATTGTCTAATATAATATAAATTGATTTGAAATACCTGAAAAAAATAGAAGATCAACCGAAAATAATTTTATTATAACAAAAAACTGAAATCACAAGGAAATAACATACAAGCTACAACCAGAAAATAAAAAGTTGAAATAATAATAAAATTGGTTTCAGCGGGAGATGATCATTTGGTGGGGGTTGATCGTTTTTCTCTTGATAAGAGGTTTCCATATGTTACGTATCTCTACGCTAGCTTGACTAGATTGCGTTGTTGGACAACATATACAAGGCTTCCTTGAATTTTCTCCTGAACCAGTGTTCCTCTTTGTGGATGATTTCAGCTTGAGCCCTCTTGATATTATGTTGATGAGTCCAAACATGCTCTGCTATTCCGGATTTGCTGGTTTCTGCTCGCTGTGTGTGTGTCTTGTGCTCAGCAATGCGAACTTTCAATGGCCTCTTAGTTTCACCAATGTATGATTCTCCGCACTCGCAGGGTATCCGGTAAATGTAATTCTTGGAATCGCAGTCCGCGTTTGGTGGCCTGATTTCTGTGACGCTGCTACGAATAGTGTTCCCAGATCTGAAGCAGGTCCTGATGTTATACTTGGACCCAATCCTTCTTATTCTTTTCGATCATCCTCTGATGTTGGGAAGTACAAGTACTGGTTGTGGCGGCTTCTCTTCCTTGTGGAGCTCTTGCTGTCTTCTAGCTGAAGCCTGTTCTACCATCTCTCTGTAGTAACCATTCCGTTGAAGGTCATTTTTGATGATACCTATTTCTTTTTCGAGACCTTACTTTGTATTAGAGAGCTCGAAAGCACGGTCTAGTAGAGACTTGATGATTCCTCTCTTAGTCGATTGATGGTGGTTGGATTTCTGGTTCAGATACTGTCCTGTGTCAGTGGGTTTTCGATATACAGATGTTTCCCATTTAGTGTCCCACTTTGAAACAAACACTGAATAATCTTGTAAGATTCAAAATGGTGGAGGGAATTGCAAGGCCTTTGTTCAAATACCTGAAGATAAAACAACAGAATTAGATAAAATAAGTGACATATTTAGAATAATTGGTTATGCCGAAAATGATTATCGCCTGCGGAATAAACATGAAAGGAAGATCAAGAGATGTGAATTTTAACGAGAGGCGTCCTCAAATCGAAAACCTAAATGTTGAACATCAGATAATAATGCATATTGATGGAATTAATAAATCATAAGAAAATTCAAATTGAACAATACCTGTTCTATTCAAAAATATCATAATTGATTAATTTCCATTCATCTCTTGTTCATGCACTTTTAGAAAAATCGGTGGAGCTCATGGATCAACGTTTTCTTGAAATGTTGGTACTGGAAATTAATGAAACCAAGTGTATAATTTTTCTATTATATGATCATCACAACGATTACTAGATCATCTACTTCAACTTATATCTCTGAATACTACTCGAAGGAGTCTACTAGAAGAGTGGACCTGTAGTCTAGTACTTTATCAGTAGTATTAAAATCTGTAGAAGGAGTGGACTATTCGAATAATGATAAGTTACGTGTGATTCACACTTGGATAGGAAATTTTGGCGCATATTTTATTATTTCAACTAGGTATCTTATCACGCACTTGAATGCTTGACCGATTGTGGACATAGATGATACAGTAATTTCATTTTTCAGGTGGACATGGGACCCTTCTGGGTTTGATAAATGCATTCATCCATGTGATAATGTATAGTTATTACTTCCTTTCATCTCTTGGACCGCAGTACCAGAAATACCTCTGGTGGAAGAAACACTTGACAGCCATGCAAATGGTAAATAATTTCCATAATCATCAACGCTATTTTTCAAAAACTTCATTTTATCATACTTTTTAATGTTCATAATTACCATTATCGTCACCATGAACTGTATATTTCATAATTAGTAGAATTATCAACCACCTTATCATACTCAGTAAAAAACAATATTATTTGTAATCACTACGGTGGTTACAACTACCGGAATGAAGGAGTCGAAAACGAAAAATATAAATGAATTATATGCACTAAGTGATGATGGGCTGGTAAATTGAGTCGAATAAAATAACTCATTTTGTATTTTAATATTCACGAATGTTTCAACCCATTCAGGTTTTCATTTCAATCCAATAAGATCAGTAAAGTATTCTCAACAAAACAGAAACTATGGAAAAGATGAGTCTAGTCATGACTAGTCATGTTCTAGAAAGTTTCTGATTCTCTGATTAAAGCAAGCCCAATATTTTGGTGAAAGCGGTGAATTGGCCAAGTGGGAGTGCGCGCGACTTGGATCTAAACATCGTGAATTTGTATTTGGTTTCATGAAAATTTATACAGCTGAAGATGGATCGATTCTGCTAGTTTACATAATTGATGAAACTACCAGCAGCCATGATGCTAACCAAACTCTGTCCATTCAAGCAACGGAGTGCTTCGAAACAATATCTTGCACAGTGCACGTGATCTCCCGGATAAGGCTGCTTGTACAGAGTCGCACTAAGGAACAACCAAAATTGTATCATTATTATTTATTAATATGCGGCTGGGTGTAGGAAAATTTTTCAAAGTTTAACTAATGAAGAAAACAATAACAATTTTGTGTATCCAACATTACATGAACAACAAAAATAATTGGTTCATTTCATTTCAGCAGAACAATCGGATAAACAGTTCTTTATTTCAAAATGACATTTGAGGGTTTACATTAAAAGATAAAAATAAATCTTTTTGCCATTTTTAAACCGATTAGTCAGATGCCGAAGAACTGCTACTGAAGTAATCATCATTATGATTGATTATCAACGGATTCCTGTCAATAAAATCATCCATCGGTCTAATCTTGACATTCTAATTTCTACTTCATTTTTTACAGGTCCTTCGCAATTATTTCATTTTTCAGTAGTTATAGACGAAACAGCTTCACTAAAAATATTTTTAAGATCACAGAATATGAAAGTAGTATTATTTTGGCCACATAGTTTTTATGTCCGCCCAAATAAGCTCTAGTGGCTTGAGCTCGCAGTGGTAAGGGAGAAGACGTAATTATGTGCTTTGGCAATTTCGTCATCAATGTGTTCATTATATTTGGTTTCATGTTCATTCACTATCCTTGTAAATTCTGCTTTTACCATGTTATGTTCGAATGGTATACTTCACACGCAGTCGTGAATAACAGCTTTTTTGTGGGTGTAGTAGGAATTTTTTAGCTCTTTCGGAATGGTATGAAGCGTTCTCAGAACTTCGTTCTTGAACCAATTCTCAAAAGATATCCCGCAAGAAGTTGGGGATAAAACCGGTTTTGCTTCCTATGTGACATACCATCAATTTTTTTTTTCTGGAAAGGAATTCATTCTGTTTCAGTTGAAACAGGAGAAGCGTGTATTTTCATACGAACAACATCTCATAACAATTAAAAACATTCAATTTCACTTCAAAATAAAGTATTCATGCATTAATTTCATTATCCAAAATTTCAATTTTTCAAGTTGACCCGTTCAAAAAATAAAAGGGGGGGGCATTAAAGAAATGCACTGTATAACAGTTTTTCTAGGAAAATTTCATTTTTTGGAGTCAACGTTACTTCAAAATGCAAAACTTATATAATTCAAATAATTCCCGATTATAAAACCTGGATCTTGTGGTATTGGGAAATTTTGAAACATTATATTATTGAAGAGCGTCAAAATAAGGTGAAGCTTTTGCTCAAAATATAATATTGGCTGGGAAACGGAATACAAAATGTAATGGAACTTCGTGTGGTGCGATGGCTAGGGAGAGAAAAAGAGAGACGGTATTGCTGCTACTATCTATATTCTAGATTTGATTGACTTTTTCTATCAAAATAATAATTTGATTTTCAATAATTGAGGAAATGGATGTAAAAATTGGAGAACTGCATTTTTGATGTTTTGTTTCGTGCGCGAGAAAATAATTCTCTGCACCGGTTTGATGAAAAACTAGTGGATGCTTTTTACTGTTTCTTTGAGGGTATAACTTCCCACAATCCGAAGAATGAACAGAGTTAAATCAATAGAGAATCTACTGAAGTGTGATAAAGGAAAAACTGAAAAGTTCACTCCTAAAAGTCACTGCGTAATATAAACTATTGAAAGTCCAATTAGTCAGTAACTTGTCGTTTTCATAAATTTGGTCTATACATATTGGAAAATTCAATTGAAAAGAATCAAATATTCATACTTAGCTTTCTTCACTTTCCTCAGTGGTCAACATTTCAGAAAACAAACTTTTTCAGTTTTCGAAATCTGAAATTCACTTTTAAACTTTCGCCCTGAAGAGTTGTAGCTCCATTAGATAAGTGGACTGTAGTATAACATAGGATTGTATGATTTGAGGAAGAAGATAGAATTTTGTTCAGGATACAAAAAAAAGAGCGAGAGAGATTACGTAGCTGTGGCTCTCACCTGAGTGTATGTCGGCTCTAGTAGCGGCTTGTAGAGAGATTTCTGGTTCCAGGAGGATAATCGTAAGAACATGTTGGATCACACAACACTTACTAGCTGGCCAGCAACTTTGTTAATTCATTGAGTAGGTTGTCGAATCACCGGAGACGCTTTTTGTAGCTAGTCTATATATATACTGAATAAATGTAAAACATTCAAGGAGGTGATT